CGCAGCCTAGGACCAAACTACTTCGAGTTGGCCACTGCAGAATGAGTTTCTTAATCATTTTATACGTCACTAATTACTCCTCAGAATGTCACTCAAAACCCAATGGTCAGAAGGCCTTAGGACCAAAGGACCCACTGCAGCATCCTCTTCCTGTGTGGGATGAAGGTAGAACATGGACAAACAGTGAACAAGGAGCATGTCACAATGGTTCATCAGTGCCCTTTCTACAGAGGCGGGGTGAGGACCCACGCCACAGTCTCACGGCCCCTCAGGTCAGAGTGTATTTGCACGGTGACCAGGATACTCAGGAGAGGACACTGCCCTCTGCAGCACTTAGGCCAGAATATGTAGTCAGAGTTGCCGCACAATAGCATTCAAATTGCATCAAAAAACCTTTAACCGAAAACACAACATAGCTTTAACTTTTGTCTGCCGTAAGTGCGTGAATGTCTCTGTATTAACTCTAAAGGCCTCGACACTTCGGCTCATCATACATTTACTCATATTCACACACCAGTTCCCTAGATAGCAGTGGAGATTCAAAGGGACACTGATGCTCCAGGTTGTATTTGGCAACAGGTAGTGCAGACCCCTCAAAGTGCTCTGTGGCTTTGAGCAGCCATTGCACCTGGGCCTGAGGATGCGGGCCCTGGGGTCTCCTGCAGCCCTGGCCTCAGCGATTCTGGTCTCCAGGAAGTATTTACCAGGTGCCTGTGCTACTGTTGAGAAATACTGCCCTCTGTGTGTTTAGGATTTTTAGTCTCATTTTACCACAGCTTGTGTTTTGTATTTTTTGTGTTGCAGTGCAGTGTGAGCCTGTCACATTGGTTTTCCAGAGGGTAGGCACAGCTCATGTCCCTACGAGTTCAGGCGGGTGACCCTTAAACAGCCGTCAGTCTGGCAGTGCAGTCCGTGGTCCATTGGCGTCTTTGTTCTGCGGGTCTGAACATTAGCTTTTTCTATATTGCACATAGAAGCTTTAAGAGGTGCAACCCCTGATTAATCTGGGCTCAGTCTTGATGAAATCCTTCCAAACTGGGGGTTTTGTTTGTTCTCCAAGCTTCTACTTCAGATGTAGAAGAGTCTTAAGTATCCAACAGACAAACGTGAGCACACTGGATAAAGAATCCCTCTGAAAATTGTAGTGTGTGTTAGCTAACACACTTGGTCCTGATAACAGCATGCTCCAGTGTGCCTGCCTGGCTGCCGTCTCCAACAGGTCAGCCCGCAGTGCTCTGTGCAGCCGGGCGCTCAGACTGGAGAACAGCCGGCCTTCATCCTTGTCCCAGTACCACTGAGCAGACACTAACTGACACCCTGCAGGCCTGAAAAGACCGGATCCTTAGTATTCCTGGCATTCAGTCTAGCCGTCTGGTAATCCTCACGGACAGCCACGGCCTCCCAGGCCTCAGAGGACTGTCCCTTCATGAGCACACCAGTGCATAGAAGCACACTTGGCAAACATCAGCTCAGGCGAGCCCAGGCCCCAATGTCCATGGTGTTGCTAAGCATGCTGGCAGCTTGCGGTAGGTACCATATTGTGGGGTTGGTAATTAATGCCAACCTTGAAGCCGTTGGGACACCAGTCCACAGAGTGGGTGCTGCACTGGGACTTGATGTTGGCACCGGTGGTGTTGATGTCTTTGGGAACCGCATCACAACAGTGCAGCCAGCAGGGAAACCTCCATTGACCGTGGTGACCCACATTTCCCTGGTTGGCTTCCTCAGCAGAGAGAATGGGCGTGGATGGCTGGTGGGAAGTAGATGCAGGAATGGGTACCTGGTGGGTCTGCAGATGTGTCCTATGCATACTCAGAGGCCCAGCAACTCTGGAGGACTCCGTGATGGAGGGCATTCTGGCCAAGAGGGTGGTTAAAGTTAATATGGGCTGAGTGCTGAATATTGAGATGTCCTAGGACCTTGTCAGACAAGGAGGACCGGTCAGGTGTGGGTGGTTAGTATTGTGCTGTAGGATTCAGAGTTGTTGAAACCTTGAGGGCTATATAAATGGGGAATTCTAGCTTGTTCTTGCCATAATAGGCATTCCATCAACAGGGAGGTGACCCCAGTACCTACTCCACCAAAACTTCTGAGAATCCAGAAACCTCAAAGACTTGTGCACTGGTCAGTCAGCCCGAGAAGCCAGGGAAGCAGGCAGAGCGGAGAATTCCCCCAGCGGGAAGCGCTCTGGGGCCAGCCTGCAGGCTTCACTCACCGCTCAGGAGTAGGCATGTGAGACTGGCTCACACAGTGGCCTGCAGGGCCTGAGTGAACCACCAGACTGACTTGCTAATAGGCCAGAGCCTGCAGTGGCACTAACTGTGAGGGTGAAGGTGGTGGGATGTGCCCAGCGCTGCCTCCTCGCCCTCACGCCCTTCTGGGCTCAGGCTCCCCAGCGGTAGGTTGGGGCCAGCACCACCTACCTACCTCACAGGGTTGTTGTGAGGAACAGTGTCAGCTTTGGTTTTTGTTTGTTTTAAAGATCAGAGATTTTATTAATTCTTTTGCAATTTCATTGTATAGTGTATATTTATCATATTTAATCTCAACGCCCTCCCAACTTCTCCCACATTCATGCCCCCTTCCAGACCCATCTCCTTTGTGTCCTCTTTATTTTTCCTTGAAACAATTTTTTGTTTACTTAGCGTTTTTATTGAGTCATGGGATTTTCACATCATGTACCCCAATTCTTCTCACCTCCTGGTCTCCTCCCAGTGTCAGGTGTTTTAGTGCTTAGGTGAGCCGGATGGCATAATGAAATCTTTCAGTATGAGAACTGGATTTCTATGTGTTAACTGAAGATACCTGATGTATATTCAAAAAACAGCTAGCCAGCTCAGAAGAAATTTATTTTCAGATTACATGGTTAATTTTTTTTGTTGTTGTTCTGTATACCAAAGAGGCTTACAGGTTTGCCAGTATCAGCATGAGGCCAGTTGCTTTAGGAGCTGCCAGCCCTCAGGACCTCTTGAGGCATGCAGAGTTCTGTGGTAGCCATGACTATTGCCCACACCTAGCTGCCCAGGAATAACCGTGTTGGGACAGCAATACTCAGTTTTGAAATGTGAGTGGATCCAGACCACACCTCCCGAAGCTCACCCCACTCACCAGGCTACAAATGGGAGGGAGGGATGTTTGGCAGTCAGACCCAGCTATTTCTCAGCCTGCACCCCCCTTGAGGGCCATGAGGTTGCCTTTTTGATGAGTGGAGAGCAGCCCTTGGCATTGTGGAGGGTAAGGCTGAATGTTGGCATTTGATGCCACCCTCCACCTGCCAGAGGCTGGAAAGCTCAGCCTTGTGGCAGGCCAGGAGAGAGGGAGCCCAGGCTGTGGGATCTCTTGGTGAGAGGCTTCATTGTACCCTAGGAGAGTTTGTGTTTTTTAAGGAATAATTCCAAGGTGTGAGTGGAGGAAGAACAGGCCCACTCTCCTGAAACTTGTGGGTGGAAGTCAGCAGTCCACAATGGAATATGAGCTCCTTAGTGGAAGGATTTGGCCGCTTATGCTTTCCTCTGGCCGTAGTCCAGAGATTATCCTTAACTTTATAAATGTAGCAGTGACAGGTGGTGGCAGAGAATCAGGCTAATGAGGCTTTTCAGGTATTAGACAGGCCGCCATGTCCTAGGACTTCCACAGATTACAGAACCGTCAGGAGACGGTCTAGTTGCAGGCTTCAGATTGGAAGTTCTTGGGTGGAAAGTAGGTACCACACAGAGAAAAGCCTACTTGGCAATCATGGAAACATTCAGGAGGCCCTGCAGTTTGCAGAGGAACGAACCTTCAATCAGGGCAGAAAACACACAGCGGTGGCCTTGGTGGTAGCTGCTGCTTGGTCCTAGGATGTACACTTTATTAATTCTTCCCACGTAGTTGCTGACTTTGGGGGCTGGTGTGTCAGGGAGGCCATTTTTAGCATCAGGTCCCTGAGGGCTCAGCCAAAGCTCCTAGGTCCTATTCTCCCGCCATCTCCCTGCCTTAGGTAGCTCCCCTGTTACAGTGGCAGCAAGGTCAGTGCCCTCAGCCTTCCCGATGGGCGGGCAGCTTACTGCTCTGGGAAGCTTGTACCTTGCTCTTCCTGAGCCTGGCCAGCCTCCGTCCTGAGTGAGTGGAGGCTGCTTGTCTGACCCATTGAAAGGAGGGGGAATTACGGAGTAATTACTGTACTCTTCTTTTTACACACAGAAATGTTTATTTAAATATATTAAATGGGATTTTCTTTCACAGATACTGATTATTCTTTTTAATTAAATAAAACTGTACTTGACTTCACTATGAACAAGCGTGACTGTAGGATGTGGAAGCTATATGTGATAACCATGTCTAGATGAAAGTTCAGCACCACCAGTATCAAAAGAGGTGTGCTTTGTCTCTTGCTCTCTTCTGAACTCCTGCCCCTACCAGAGTAGTTCTCAACACTTCTAATGCTGCCACCCTTTATAATACACTTCCTCATGTGGTGACCCTCAACCATAAAATGACTTCATTGCTACTTCATAACTGTAATTTTGCTGCTGTTATGAATCAGGTATCTGGTATGCAACCCCAAAGGGGTCATGACCCACATGTTGAGAACCACTTCTCTGGCGGGTTGTAGTGACAAATTCCTCTGCCCTCAGAGACAGCAGTGCAGGGTATCAGTGTAATTATTGTGTCTGAGGTGCCAGCCTCTCTGGTACATAAAAGCAACATTTGCTGTTTAACTTAATCAAGCTGTGTATTTTCTTAAATTGTGACTGGAAGGGTGTCATTTAGTCTCCAAAACTTCAATTTTGGGTCATGAAGCTTAAATTTCCCCTAGGAGACAGGGTTTCTCTGTGTAGTCATTGCTGTCCTGGAACTCACTGTGTAGACCGGGCTGGCCTTGAACCACAAACATCTGCCTGACTCTGCCTCCTTAGTACTGGGATTAAAGGTGTAAAAAATAGGCCAGGTGGTGGTGGCACATGCTTTTTTTTTTTCCAGCTTAAATTTTTTAGGATTTATTTTTATGTGTCTTTTACCTGCATGCATGTCTGCACCACATGTCTGTGGTGCCCACAGAGGTCAGAAGAGGGTGCCAAATCCTCTGGACTGGAGTTTACAGGTGGTTGTGAGCACCATATGGGTGATGGGATCCAAACCCTGGGTCCTCTGAAAGAGCAGCCAGTGCTTTTAACCTCTGAGCCACATCTGGAGCCTGTGTGCCAGACCTGAAACAGTGACATCTGGGTCCAACTCACTAGGACCCAGTTACCAAGCTGCTGTCTCAATGTGGGGATGCCATCCTCATTGAGACGATTCTTCACATTACTTCTTTATTGTGAATGTACGTGGAAATTAGTTCTTCCCATGTGCCATTGGCGGTCCAAAGGGTCAGGCTTGGTAGCAAGCCTCTTCGGGACCTGATCCACCTTGCCATCCCTCATCTCCAGTTTCCTACTTGGGCCTGGGGTGGTCTTGGTTCTTTAATGGAGGTCCTTCTGGGAGGCTGCTCAGGGTCCAGCTGCTTCCATGGGGCTCAGATGCCCTCTCTCTCTTCTCAGTGATGCTCCCTGTGTCGATCCTAAAGGGTAGTTTGATGTGAGCTGGATGACTCCACCTTCACTATGTCCATCCTGTCAGCTTTCATGATGGAAGACCTTTCCACGCCCACAGAAGTGTGCCTCACGAGAGCTTTGCCTCCTCCAGTGAGAGTCTCCCCACAGGTGACGGACTGGGAGCCTGTAGGCTGTGGCTGCCCTAAGCACGTCCTTGTATGGAAGGGTCCGACCCACCTGCTCTGTCTACTACACTGGTTCTAGACCGCTCTAGAATTCCCAACTGCACAGAAGACCTCCTCCAGGGACTAACACTTTCCTGTTTTGTTGGGTTTTTATTATTGTTTTGATTTGGGGTTTATAGCAGTGTAGTCCACCTGGCCTCCAGTTCACTGTGCAGCCCAGTCTGGCTTAAAGCTCCTGGCAGTCCTGCCCCTGTCTTGCTAGTACGGTGATTACGGGTGTGGGTGTGTACTCGTGTGTTACATATGTACATTGTGCATGTGGGAGCCGGAGGACAGTATTGTTCTCAGCGCCGTCAGTTCACAGGGATTGGGTCTAGCTGCTCAGGCTCCTTCCTAGTTCTCATAGACTGCTGTGGGAGCCGCTGGCTGGTGCCACAGGCGAGCCCAGGTGCCTTCGGTTCCCTTTATTCCTCATTGTTTACCCTTTCCAGGAGCTGTTCATCACACGTTATTCTCTCAATAAGAACCTTGCCCTTAACTTGTTTCTAAGGATGCCAACAATATGTGGGTGATACTCACAGGGCATTCCTTTTTGAACAGTGCCATCCCCTTGATGCTTACAACATACCCTGGTAAATTGGTTACATGTGGCCAAAGGAGCGCTCCATGTTCCCAAAGAGGCCTGTGGAACAGCAGGGCCTCTCCTCTTTCTCTTTGTGTTTGCCGTTTGGTGAATCACTGGAAGGTGCGTTTGGGTTTTTTTGTGTGTGATTTTTTGCTTGTTTCTTTTAAGACAGGGTCTCACTTTGTAGCTCATCCTCTGCTCAAACTTTGTTTGTCCTGAAGTCTGTCATTGTGTTAGTCTCTAATTGTATCACACACACACACACACCACGCTCATGTTGGGAAGACGCTGTTTTACCTGGCTGAGGTCTCGTGGTCCCTGCCGTCATCAGGCATGCTGTGCTCTGTGTGCTCATCCACGGGTACCTGGAACCTGGACGGTAGAGACGGCTCGAGGGCAGTAACGTCCCTGCTGGGGGCCTTGAGCTCACGCTGCTCCAAACCACAGGGCAGCAGACCTTCCAGGGCTCACCCACCACTTCCCTTGGTTTGGGACTGTTTGCCAAGCCCAGTGTGGCTTGTCAGAACCACTGTCCACAGTAGCATGCAGGCCCTAGTCAGGCCTGGCTTTCACAAGCTATCTTGGTCAGAGGAGACACCTCAGGGAACAGAGTGGGGCCAGGTGGCGTGGAGGGACAGCTTGACAGGCTTTCCTTAGTCGGCAGTGTGGTGTGGGGAGGCCCCACGAACACCCTGCATCATGAACCATTCAGGCCTAGGTCGGGAAGTGGGAGCTAGTGCAGCTGACCCAGGGGAGCTAAAGGCCACTGTGGCCAGGGTGTTGTGTAGTCTGACAGAGGTGGGCAGGGAGGGGCCCTGGAGAGCTGCCATGCCCTGATGGGATGGGAATTGCAGACTGTTTAGAAATGGCTGCAGGGTATCTTGAAGGGCACAGTAGGGTTGACTTGGGGGGTCGTAGCAAGTGACAGAGTAAACAGGCTGAAATGGGGAGTTCAGTCTGGGTCTTGGGGTGGGTTAAAAATGGGAACAACGAGGCGGTGGTGGCGCAAGCCTTTAATCCCAGCACACAGGAGGCAGAGGCAGGCGGATCTCTGAGTTCAAGGCCAGCCTTGAATACAGATCAAGTTCCAGAACAGCCAGGGCTGTTACACAGAAAAACCCTGTCTCAAAGACAAAACCAAACAAAAAAGGGAACAAATGAGAACGGAATCAGGTCGGCTCCCAGGCTTTGATGACACATGATGTCACTGACCAAAATAAGGGGTTGGATGTGGTGGGGTGGTGTCCAGAATTCTGTTGGCCACTACGGAGCTGAGGTGCCTTAGACACCCTGACAAGAGAGCTACCAGGAAGGATGTAGCTGGAGTGAGTCTAGAGCACAGGAATGCTGCGGGGCATGGGAAGCATCTCACTTTAAACCCAAAGAACTGGGACTGGGGTGGGATAGTTCTACATAGTGCACTGCTCAGAGTACTCAAGGTTGGGTTTAATCCATACATGCACACGAGTTTGAGTGTGTGCGTAGGGGGGTGGGGTGGAGAGAGAACGAGCAAGCACAGGGGGATTAATGGGGTCACTTACGGAGAGAGTAGAAAGTGAGGCATGCCTGGGATTAGCCCTGGGAGAAGCTGTTATTCAGGCAGCTGGCTGAGGAAGGAGCAGCCAGGAACCAGGAGGATGGCTAGCCACAGGGGACAGTGTGTAAAAGACGCACACTTAAAAATGCCAGAGCCCAAGGTGAGAAGCCCACACAGCTCCACACAGAGGCCTCCCAGGAAGGGAACGGGAAAAGGACCAAAATCTGACAGGGACATTTCAAACACAAGACCTGCCTGCACACAGGGAGCCTCACCTCGGAGGCATCCCCCAGGCACACTCTGCCCACCTACAACTGCTCTGCTCTTGCTTTTGGCTGAGTAGGTCCATGATCACCTGCAACATGGGAAATAAGCACCTGGACAAAGACTGACTCAGAGAAGCCTGCTTCAGGGGCAAGCTGCCCGAAGAAACCAAAGCCTTCCGCTCAGCCTCAACTGGCGAGAGAATCCCCAGGAAAGAGCAGGAGCTAGGGACAGTCAGAGCACCAGAGGGAACTGGAAAGTCAAAACAAGATGGGGCCTGCTTCCAAGCAGGAAGACCTAAGTTCGATTCCCAGAACCCACAGAAATGACTCCGTGAACTGTCCTCTTTCCTCCACATATGCTCTGTGTGGCATATGTGTGTGCCTACACATACATGTACAGAGACACAAAACAGTAAATACTTTTTGGAGATAGGGTTTCACTATTTAATCCTGGCTGGACTGGACCATATAGACCAGGTTGGCCTTAAACTCACAGAGACATACCTGCCTCTACTTCCTGGGTTCTGGCATTAAAGGTGTACAACCAGCACATCCAGCCAAAAAAGAAAAGAAAAACCACCAAAATCAGCAAGAATTGGAAGAGATGTGAGAAAGATGTTGTCTAGAAAGTACACAACAGAGAGAAATGGTGAGGTGGAGGCCAGTGTCCCATCATGGGAGCGCTGACAGAGTCGGTCAAGTCCGCAACTGATTTTAAAGAGGGTGCCAGATCCCAAACCAAAAGGGAGGAACTTCCAGAGTGTGCCAGATCCCAAACCAAAAGGGAGGAACTTCCAGAGTGTGCCAGATCCCAAACC